TATTTAAATGACAGGTTTTTTTCAGTCATATATATAAACAACTAACAAAAATAATTTACAATTAAACTAAATACTGGTTGTAATTACTACACAATGGAAACCTTGCTCATTCCTGCTTTCCTACCACTGTTCATTATATTGTGGATTTTGTTATATACCAAAGCCACACTTTTTTTTTCATCAGTCATGGGGGTTAAACTCAGGTCCTGGATACTGTCCCTGAGCTTTTTGCTCAAGGCTAGCATTTTACCACAGCTCTACTTCTAGTTTTCTAGTGGTTAATTGAAAATAAGAGTCTCACAGATTTTCCTACCTGGACTGGCATGGAGCCTTGATCCTCAAATATCCGCCTCCTGAGTAGCTAGGATTACAGGCATGAGCCATCAGCAGCTGGTGATCACAATTTTTTTTTTTTTTTTTTGGTCATGGGGCCTGAACTCTGGGCCTGGGTGCCGTCCCTCAGCTCTTCAGCTCAAGGCTAGCACTCTACCACTTGAGCCATAGCACCACTTGAGGCTTTTTCTGCTTATGTGGTGCTGAGGAATCAAACCCAGGGCCTCATGCATGCAAGGCAAGCACTCTACCACTGAGCAACTTTTTTTTACAACCAGTTCCAAACTTTTTTTTTATCCTTGGTTCCGTAAGAAAGTATAGTTTCTTTTGAGACACAGTCTCTCTTTAGCCGAGGCTGGCCTGGAACATGAAATCCTCCTGCCTTCAGCTTTGAGTGCTGGGATTACAGGCCAGGTTCAATATAAAAGGATATTCTTTGAGAGATGTACTGATAACCTGGTTCTTTTTACATTGAAGTCTAGAAATAAAATAAAAATACTTCATTCACCAAATATCTTTTGGGTACTTACTATATGGAATTAACAAAAAAACAGTGGAGAGGTAAGGGATATAGAACTATATCTCATGAAGATTAATGACCTACAAAACATTTCAAATTTGATGGAAGAGGTGGGATATACAAATAAGTAATACATAATACTATCTTAGTGGTCCTAAATAGAAGTATTTAAGTTGAGTTGAGGTTGTGGTTCAGTCGTAGAGTACTTGCCTAGCATACACTATGATCTTGGGTTTTATCTAAAGCATCAAAAAAACAAAAACAAGCCAGGCACTAGTGGCTTATGCCTGTAATCCTAGCTATACAGGAGGCTGACATCTGAGGATCATGGTTCAAAGCCAGCCTGGGCAGGAAAGTCTGTGAGACTCTTATCTCCAGAAAATTGGAAGTGGTGCTATGGCTCAAGTGGTAGAGCACTTGCCTTGAGCTGACGAGCTTAGGGACACCACCCAGGCCCAGAGTTCAAGCCCCACAATGGACAAAACAGAAAACAACCCCCCCCCCACAAAACCCAAAACATTCAGTGGCTCACACCAGTAATCCTTGCTATTCAGGAAGGCTGAGGTTTAAGAATTGAGGTTTGAAGTCAGCCTGGGCAGGAAAATCTGTCAAATTCTTATCTCTGATGAACCATCAAAAAGCCAGAAGTGGGGCTGGGAAGGTAGCTCAGTGGTAGAGTGTTTGCCTTGCATGCATGAGGCCCTGGGTTCGATTCCTCAGCACCACATAAGCAGAAAAAGCCAGAAGTGGTGCTGTGGCTCAAGTGGTAGAGCGCTAACCTTGAGCTGAATTGCTGAGGGGCAGCACCCAGGCCCAGAGTTCAGGCCCCATGATCAAAAGAAAGAAGAAGAAAGGAGGAGGAGGGAAGGAAGAGGAGGGGGGAGAAGGAGGAAGAGGAGAAAGAAGAGGAGGAGGAGAGGGAGAAGGAGGAGGAGCAGTAGCAGCAGCAGCAGTGGCGGCTGTGGTTCAAATGGTAGACCACTAGCCTTGAGTGAAAAAGCTAAGGTACAGTGTCCAGGTCTTGAGTTCGAGTTTCAGTGCTGGCACATGAGCACACACATGCATGCATACATACACACACAAAATCATTGCCTATATGGAATTTACATCCTGTTGGAAGAAATTGCATAATAAAATGATAAGCAAAATATTTTGCTGAGGCAAAATTTGTTTTTGTTTTTTTGAGACAGCTTTTTACTCTAGCAGAGGCTGGCCTCAAACTCATGACACTCTTGCCTCAACCTCCCAAGTGCTGGGATTAGACATACTATGTCACATCTTGACTGGAAACAAAAGTTTTAATTAGTCCCTGCAACACTCTGAAATAACTCTGCACAGATAACAATATAGCAAATTTTATTCAAGAACTATTGTGTGTTGTTATGATGCCCTGGCCCTAAATTAGGCAGAATCTATATTTTCTGTGCATTAAACTTGGTATATACCAATTATAGCCACAAATATCCAGTCCTATGCTTTGTCCCATCCTCCATTAGTCACAATTGTGCCCTTGCATAGCAATATTGTCATTATCATTACTATCAGTTGTAAACAATAGCTGTAATTACAATTTTACAATTAGCTAGATTTTAGTTATCCCTGGGCCTTGTAGAAGGTCTCTATCACTGAGCTACACCTCCAAACTTAGAGTTCAAAATACTTGATTAGTAAAGCACTAATTCCCAAAATGTGGTTGTGATGGGGAATTAAATATATTTCATTGTAATGTCCTGGGTAGTTTTATCTTTACAATAACCTCATATTGGGTTAAGAAAGTGCGTATATTGTCTGTGTTTTAAAGACCAGAAATCTTAGGCCTGAAGAAGTTTAGTAATTTACTCAAGGCTAAAAGATAAGTGTCAGAGATGAAACAGGCCTGAATCTGAACTCTTTGGCTTTCCTTCTGTAATACTTAACTGATGACCAGATATTGATATGTTAAATGTTTCCTTTTTTCCCCTCTATTTTGTGTCCAACACAGTCTCTTAACTGTTCAGAGCTGTTGATTAGAATGCAGACTTCTAGGTCTGCACTCCAGAGATTGCAAAGTTCTACATAACCGGCATCCCACATAATTCAATTAAGATGGTCTGATATGTGGAACTAAACTAAAAACCACCCCAAGGAGAACAAACATGCTATCTGTCCAGAACTTACAGAGCAAGAGAGTCAGTCATCATCACTTGTCTTTGGCAGCGCTTCAAAGGCAGTCAAGGAAGCGAGAAGACTATAAAAATGGAAGTGGGACGCACACTTCTGATTGGAGGTTCTTGGCAAGGGAAATGGGAAAGCGAGGGGCGGTTATAAGAGGAGACCGGGTTGGATAATGAATTTGGCTTTCTCTGGTGGTTCTCTGGTGGGTCAAGTTGGCAGTAGCCGACCTCCTGCCAGTTGTTCTGGTCTACTTGCTGCCGAGGCTATGGCTGGGCACTGAGTGCTTCCTGGGCATTTGAGAGTTGTGCTATCACTTAGGGTCTGGCCGCTGTCCATCAGTGCACGCCGCTTTAACCCTCACTTTGAGAACCACCCTGCCTTCTTCGGAAGGTGCTGGGCTGTAAGCTCCAGGGGGCTGAGGGCCTGGTTGCCATTCCCAGCCCTCCGCAGGCTCTGCGAGTCTGGCTAGTGAGTGACAACGGGTTTTGCTGGGACAAGGAAATGAGCTTTCTGGTGTAGCACCTAGACCTCTCTCATGTGAACAAAGCAGCGCCTCCCAGCCACTTGTACTGTCCCCTGAAGCCTGGCGTGGGACCTAGCCTGACCCTGGCTGTCCTCAGTTTCCCTCAAAGCCCAGCGGCCGAGGCGCTCTCCCCAGCGCTCTGGCGGGACGATGGCGGGACGACGGCGTTCCCCCTGACATTTTGAAGACGACCCTGTTTCCAGCCCGCAGGCTTGTCCTGCCTGCCTCCCGACGCGGGTTTCCGCGCGGGAGGGCGCAGGAGCCCGGGCGCGGGGGCGAGAGAAGGCGCTGGGAGGTCTGCGGGGTGGGCGGCGCGGGCCGGG